TGTGTGAAGTAAGCTAGAGATATATTCGCAGTGTGAATCTTCCTCTGAAGTTTAGTCAACCTGCAATTAAAAAAAAATCCGTTTTGAAGTATACCCATGTAAAATTTAATGTTGGTATAGAAGTAATTACTTACATCGGTTGTTCGCCCATTACTTTAAGCATGCCGTCGATGAGTAAAGCCGGTATAAGTTGATACATCAACATTTGAAAAACATAATTGTAGTAGCACTTGGTGATTTTTGGGTTGGGGTACCATAAAACATTATCGTAGGGGCGTTCTTTCCATATTTTGGTGCCTAAATCGACGACGGTTTTTATAGTTATGTTGTTCACATCGTTATTACTACCGTTGTAGAATGATGGGTTGAGTCTGTGGCTTGCGTCTCTGGAAACTGATTTATAACTTCTACGGAGGAAAAGAGAAAAAATATACTTGTATGTAGCTTGTTTCCACGATGATATGATGATAGCCTTCACTGTAACGTCAACTGCCATAAAGTCCGTAATGTTGTTAGGGTTAGAGTAAATGATGCGCACTATTCCTTTTCCGCAACCTACCGTGAGGCCTATGGGACCGTTGAAATTGTCGATCCAACCGGGGATGGGCTCGATATTTGTACCGATAACTGTTAACAAACAGTTGAGATAATTTAATCTGAGATATTTTTAATTTTCAAGCAAAACTAGGAATAATTTCATTTTAAAGTCGAATAGGGCAAAACCCCTATAGTTTTGCCCCATTCGACTTTAATTTGTTTTTTCTATATTTCCACCACTACGTTACGTGATGCCATGATTACAATTATTTCGAAATCAGCCTGTATGTCTATAGTGACAGTTTATTCTAAAATGTAAGTCACGTTAGTACTATATATGATATATTTTTCAATTTACGCACGTGCCTATATTTTGAGAGTGATTATTAGTTATTGCAAAACTGATTTATACTCACTAACAGAAGGTCGATAAACAACAATAGGTATTCTTCCATTACACATATCGTAGACCACGTGCTCGCTCAAGGACTTCGAAAATGTATAAGTATTTGGTTGCGGATGTATATACTTTTCGGTCAATACGTTCAAAGTATGTCTATCTATGTTTTCCGCTATTTCTATAGTCTTCTCCCATTCGGCAACAGCAGGATACAATCTTTCTTCGACCACCTTTCGATCGCTGTTGCAATAAGTCGTCGAAATGTGAACAAAAACATCCAAATTCTTCATCTCTAGTGCCAATTTAGCAACCTCCCTAGTCCCCCTAGTGTTCATGATGACAGCGTCAGTTAAGCTATCGTCGAAACGCACAGACGCCGCTACATGAAAAACGACATTCACTTCATCGATCAAGATTTGACGTTCCTGAAGATTTAGCCCTAAATCCAGCTCCCGCACATCGCCAACGACGATCTTAATTTTGTTCAGAGAATCGGGGTTTTTCGATTTGAGTACGTCGAAGAGCTACAAACGTATTAAAAAGGGAAAACTGATGAAAAAACGACTTACTGGTAAATCGGTGATAGTTTTGATTCTTTCTTCAGGAGATCGACCCTTTTTCTCTCTCAAGAGTAAGTAGATGGTTTTCAGATCTGGACACGATCGAAGGAGCTTCTCGACAAGGACTTTTCCGATGAAACCACTTCCACCGGTTATGAAGATCGTTTTATTCCGGTAGAATTCAGGAATTGTGGGTATTTCAGCCATCGTTTTGAACTTTTCAGGAAATTTATCAGTTCTTTTTCTGTGTATTCACAAATAAGGGTAATGATGGACCAATATGTTATCACCGTCGAAGTTTAACTGTGAACAAAGTAAAATCCGGTTTACCTACTAAATTTAAAAAGTTCTTACGACAAGGTTAAGGTCAAAACTTGACCTGCATGAAATCAAAATTACACACTAGTCATTGTGTACACCTGATTAACTCTCGTCTCTTTTACACACTCTGCGTACTACTTTTGGTGGTTCCTACCTGTAAACTCCCCTAAAATCTTTTTGCTTACCCGTAGCGTCAACCCCATCCTGCTGACTTATTACCCGGTACCGCGTCAATTGGTCGCAGCGACAACTGATCGCAACGACAACTGGTCGCAGTCACAATTCATCGCAACACAATTCGTCGCAAGTACAACTGGTCGCATGCGACAATTGATCGCAGACGAAAAATGATAGCGTTTAGAGAAATATAGTAATTGTTATGAATGAGGAAAATAAAATACAGTGCTATATTCTCAAAAATATCATTATTTCTAAAAAAGTGTCAAAATAAATACATACCAGTTCCATAAAAACAGTAACAATTAGGCTCATTTCTGACTAAACCAAAGTGCAAAAAAGTGAAAATATTGTAAAATAATTTTTTTAATGCTGACACATATTTCGTCGGTATGCTACTGTAATGTTCATTTGGATTATTCGTCTTATTAATTAGACACTCAAGTAAGTGATTCATGCTTTTTTTCTCACAAGTTTAAAGTTTGTCAATTAAACGAGTGAAAAAAATAGCTTTCAAAGCGTGTTACACACGTCATTTTTTTTAAATAAAAAATGGCTTTAAAATTATTACAACTGTCAAATTAAAAATTTATAGATTTATCATAATCAATGAAATCGTTACAGTTTTAAGTGAAAAAGTATTATTTTCATTACGTTTGATAGCTTAAAAAATTAAATATATATATTTTTTAATAAATTTGGTGCAAAGAAATTTGAATTTATATATAAACAATTAATCTTGGAGTTTACTGCATTCTTTGCAGAAAATTTTTTGATCACTACAAATTAGTTCTAGATTATCTTTAATCCATGATAAAACAAAAGATGTTTTTTCATTCAGAACTTTTTTGAACGCTCACACTGTTAATGGGGCGCTTGTAGATACGAAAGAATGAATAATTTATCTCATTCCCTTTGCGAAGTACCTACGTACCAATCTCCACTTTTACGCCATTTGTGTAAACAAGATCGTAAAAAGATTAGTTTGAACCATGGAGCAAAGAATATACTCATACTGGAGGAAGTGCCAGACTTAAAATGATGGTTTCCAGCCAAACCGATAAAGTGTGTCATAAACAGTAACCCTCATTACCCAGATAAGACTGCCGCTGACAGTGACGTACAGTTTTTTTTTTTTTTTGAAGATGCTCATGGAATAAAAATTGTTGAATAAAACAAAGCACATAACAGATTTATATTATCTATTATTTAAAATATTTAAATCAATCAATACATTACGAGTAACAAGTAATACAAACAGTAAATACCGTTAAAAACTAGAAACAACCAGAATGACGACGCCACTGAGTAGTGGTTATTCGCAATGGCGTGACTAATTTTTAGCTTGGGAAGATTGCAAAGTTTATTGAGGGGCATTTCACTCGGAAGGCCGACTATTCACTCAGAATTATTTGCCTAATCTGCCGGATGTAAGTGGGCAGATGTAAATTGTGGCTTTAATTTTTTCCAACCCTTGTTGTAAATTTTTGTAGGATGCAAAGTGCCGAGAATAATAAAATCAGGTAGCAGCAGGGTCATTCATGGAAAACTGCGAACCAATTATTTTTTCCTTTTTTTAGATCTAAGAGCTGTTTTACACGTCACAGAAATATTTATCGTAAAATGAATTTTTAGAAATAATTTTCTCGTGATTAATAGGTTGCAAAAGATCAAGAGGCACTCGAAGCAAGCCCTGACAAATTTATTAGCGGCGCCAGTGGAGATCTCCAACTGGTTGCGATACCACCATGGACACTCGCGTAACCTCCTTTACCAGAATTGTCAAAATGACATTGTCAAACTCAAAGCAATCATGGATTAACCATTTCATTTTAAATTCAGTTAGCATCAAGTGGCACACGGTATTCGTATTTTGGGTTGCGTAAAAATAATTTTCAGAAGTAATTTTCTCGTGACTAACCCTGTATATGTATTTTTTACACCCACATATGGCACAACTGAATTTTTCTTCAGTACAATACTAGTGACATAATAATAATTAAAAAGTAAGTTTTTAGTTGCATAAGTACCTACATTTCTTAGATTTCCCGGTAACACAAAATTATTCTTGACGCTCTAACAAAAGTTTTGGCAATATATATTTACAATACACGTAAACCTTTCTCAAACCCTGTAAAAGATCCGCTGCACTTTACAAGGGATTAAAATAAGTATTATATCCGTCCAGTGGAATTTACATTCGCTGCATATGGATACTCTAGATGTACTATTAGTTCATAAATTTTATTGTTTGGTGATATGTATAAAGGCAAGAATAGACAATAGAGGCAATTCTGTATCAAAATGTGTTAAAATTTAATGGTTGTTAAAAATATGATTTTTTATATAATTGTATAATAAATCTAGTAAAGAACAATAAACACTTTTTTTATGTTGAGTACTTATTATAATGAAGCTAGTTCCTATAATGTAATAGGTAAAATAAGCAACGACATAAATAGTAACAGTCTCTTAAAAAAATAACCGAAATGACAATTTATTAATAAAAAATCTTATGTAACAAGGCGTTTACGCTCGTATTTTTTAGTTTTTAAAGTGCAACTACAAACTTCGTCACTTATCTATATTCAAATTGTTTTTAATTCGATATTTACACCTTACCTGATTGCTAAATTTATTGCAACTTAAAATTCAGAATACAAAATATTTAGTTTTAATAAAAGAAAATACTTCCTGATGAATTTTACCTTGCGATCAATTGACGCTGCGATAAATTTACGTGCGACCAATTGTCCTGCGACGAGTTGTTTGCGACCAGTTGTCGTAGAATCGACTTACCCAGATCCTACCAGAAATATATCTGTCCAACCTTCAACTCCTTCTTTACTTTCCGAGGTTAAGCTATAAGGAAGTATTGTAACCGAGTCCATCAGGCGACTGGTTTACGTTAGATAAAAAGAATAATATAATAATCCCACTCTATTTTTTTTATTAAACTAACAAAGAAACAAAATAACAACCCAACAAATTCATGATAACCCATAACTATAATTTAAAAATATAATTTGTAACATTACAATAAATTAAATACAAAGTCAAATATTTGTTAATAACAACTAAAATTTAAGAAATTAATGGACACGACACGCTGATTTTTAAAAACTTAATAACCAAAAACCTGGATGAAGAACAAACATAGCTGGCATTTTTAGTTTATCCAGTTGACACCAGTTTGCCAAATCATGTCATTATAGTTATCAAATACTAAGGAAACAACCTCAATTTTAATAAATATAAGCCAAAACAGCCCCAAATACCACAAGAAATTGAAAATTTTAGCCAATACCCACATTCTCAAAAAATGTTTCTTCGCTTTGTTAATATCATTTTCCTTTAAAAGGTACTTTTTAGTACCTGAAATACAGTCAAATATATATGTATAAATCACAGTGTTCTCGTATTTGTAGGAAAAACTGTCAAAATCCGCAGGTAACAACTCTTCCACCAAATTAAAAAAATTGCTGTTAACAAACTTCCAGTTGTTGTGTGTGAAGTAAGCCAGGGCTACATTAGCAGTGTGAATTTTTCTCTGAAGTTTAGTAAGCCTGCGATGAATAGAAAATTCCCATTTTGAGATACACCCTTCTAAAATTTTATGTTGCTACAAGTAATTCTTGCGATACTTACATCGGTCGTTCGCCCATTAATTTAAGCATGCCGTCGATGAGTAAAGCCGGTATAAGTTGATACATCAACATTTGAAAAACATAATTGTAGTAGCACTTGGTGATTTTTGGGTTGGGGTACCATAAAACATTATCGTAGGGGCATTCTTTCCATATTTCGGTGCCCAAATCGACGACGGTTTGTATAGTTGTGTTGTTCACGTCGTTATTACTACCGTTGTAGAATGATGGGTTGAGTCTGTGGCTTGCGTCTCTGGAAACCGATTTATAACTTCTACGGAAGAAAAGAGAAAAAATATACTTGTATGTAGCTTGTTTCCACGAAGATATGATGAGAGCCTTCGCCGTAACGTCAACTGGCATATAGTCCGTAATGTTGTTAGGGTCAGAGTAAATGATGCGCACTAAGCCTTTTCCGGAACCTACCGTGAGACCTATGGGACCGTTAAAATTGTCGATCCAACCTGGGATGGGTTCGATGTTTGTACTGATAACTGTTAACAAACAGTTAAGATAATTTACGAATAATTTACTTATTCCTCTAGAAAATTGATAACGTTGATAAATGATCAACAATGGTGTTATAAATACTGTGTTTCTACTCTCGCGAAACTTCTTTTTTTTTTTTTGTTGCAGTACTATAATCTGAAAACTTTTCGAGTTCCACTAGGAAATGAAGGGTGAAAATTGTTGAAATTTCATTATGTAACGTACATAATAACGTTGTACACTTGTCAATTTAAGAAGCAGAAATGGCATAGGTACAACCATTTTGTTATCTATAGGGATGACTGTTATATGTATAACTAATTTATACTCACTAACAGAAGGTCGATAAACAACAAGAGGTATTCTTCCATTACACATATCGTAGACTACGTGCTCGCCCAAAGACTTCGCAAAAGTATAAGTATTTGGTTGCGGATGTATATACTTTTCGGTCAATACGTTCAAAGTATGTCTATCTATGTTTTCCGCTATTTCTATAGTCTTCTCCCATTCGGCAACAGCAGGATACAATCTTTCTTCGACCACCTTTCGATCGCTGTTGCAATAAGTCGTCGAAATGTGAACAAAAACATCCAAATTCTTCATCTCTAGTACCAATTTAGCAACCTCCCTAGTCCCCCTCGTGTTCAAGATGACAGCATCAGTTAAGCTATCGTCGAAACGCACTGACGCGGCTCCATGAAAAACGACATTCACTTCATCGATCAAGATTTGACGTTCCTGAAGATTTAACCCCAAATCCAGCTCCCGTACATCGCCAACAACGATCTTAATTTTGTTTAGGGAGTCGGGATTTTTCGATTTGAGAACGTCGAAGAGCTAAACATGGATTAAAAACGGGAAACGAATGAACAAAGCGACTTACTGGTAAATCGGTGATGGTTTTGATTCTTTCTTCAGGAGATAGGCCCTTTTTCTCTCTCAAGAGTAAATAGATGGTTTTCAGGTCTGGACACGATCGAAGGAGCTTCTCGACGAGGACTTTTCCGATGAAACCACTTCCACCGGTTATGAAGATGGTTTTGTTGCGGTAGAATTCAGGAATTGTAGGTATGTCAACCATCGTCCCGAAGTTTTCAGAAAATTTAATAGTGCTTGTTCTATGCGGTCACAAATAAGTATATTAAAGGTAGAATATGTTTTCACCGTTGAAATTCACTTGTCGAATAATTGCAAGGATGATTTGTCAATTTTAAAAAGTGCAAACGTGAAGGTTAATGCAAAAACTTGACCTGCATTAAATAAATCAAAGTTGTTGCAATTGAAATTAAAATGGATCTGGTGGAAATATTTTCGCTTTAGTTGTCTGCACACTGTGTGGTACGCAAGGTGTTTTCTTCCCATATGTTAATTTTTTGCCCATTCGGTTCCAACCCATCCTTAAGAAGGGTATTCTGTTGAACTCCTCCGTCAAGATAAGAGTGTGCTTAGTTATGCGACCTTCCTTGTTCCATATTCCCAGAGAGTGAAGTCTTGAAGACGTCCTTATTGCCCCTTCCTCTATGTAAAGGTGAAGAGGTGCTAAGCAAAGAAGTGTCTCCAGAGCCGCTGCGGGTATGGTTCTCATTGCTCCTGTAACACTGAGACACCCCATTCTCTGAACGTGTTCAAGTTGCAGATCTGTTGTTTTTTGTCTAGCTCTGGGCGACCAAACTAAAGCTCCCTAGCACAACATCGGTCTGACTATTGCCGTGTACATCCAGAGGGCGATCTTGGGGTTTAAACTTCAAGGCCTTCCCACCACCCTACGACATTGCCAAAGAGCCGAGCGTGCTTTTTCCCGCTTTATAAGCCACGCGCTTCTTCTAGTTCACTTGCCAGTTCAATACAACCCCCATTTACGGAGACGGTATGCCTGCTGCACCATTCCTCAACTGTTAATATTGCAGCTTGCATTATTTCACATAATGTACCTGCGTATTTTCCTGTCAGCAAAATGACTAGATCATCTGTGTATCCAATTCTGTGGTAGTCAAGATCGTTGAGGCGTCGTATCAGGCTGTCAACTACACTATCCCACAGTGCAGGTAGGAGAGAGTATTCCTCCCTAGGGACATACCCTGTCTGCAACAGCCTCGATCTCAGTGCCACCTACATTAATCAGTACTTCCCTATTCCTCAGCATACCGGTCACCCACCTACTCAGGGTGGGGTTCACGTCGTGCTCTTATAGGACTAGTCCTATGCTTTTGAAGGTCGTTTTATTGAACGCTCCTTCAATATCCAAGAACATTCCTAAGGTGAAGAGTTTGTTCTCCATCGCCCACTCTATACGGTTGACAACTATGTGGAAGACCGTATCCGTGGATCTTGTTTTCAACAAAAATGATGTTAAGCTAATTGGTCTATAGGATTTAGCCAAGGTGTAATCTTGTCGTCCTGGCTTAAGTATAAAGATAACCTGTGCTTTTCGCCATGCATTCGGTATGTAGCTGCAGGAGGGCGGGATACATGCCGTCCACTCCCGGAGATTTATATGGGGAAAATCTGTCAACTGCCCACTCCAGTCTTACCTCCGTGACTATCTTTGCCGCCAGCGCCCAGTCCTTCGGGGAAGATTGACTACCGGCCACATTGAGTTTGGAATGGGAGGTAGTCCTTGTGCCGCCTGGAAACATAGTCTGCAGCAAAAGTTCTGCAAACTCTTCTAAGGTGGCTGTCAATGTGCCATCTTCTTTCTTTAGGAAACCTAGTTGATGTGTGTGGTCCTTCGAGAGAACTCTCTTCAGCGTTGCGGCCGAAGCAGTCGACGTTATGTTACTGCAGAAGGATCTCCACGTTTCCCGTTTCCTCTTTCTTAATTCTTCCTTAAACTCTTTTCTGTGCTCTTTGTAGGCTTCCCTCAGCTTTCTTAGTGTTTTTTGCTCTATTGAAAAGTTTTCTTAGTCCAGATTGAAGCAGGCTGAGCCCTCGGTTCCACCATAGTGTACCTTTGCCTCGGCCTTCCTTCTTAATAGGCAATTCTTCTCATAAGCTGACATTAGAGAGTCGTTGATAATGGTAAAGGTTTTCTCTATGTCTTCTGCTTATTAGGGTCAGAGTAAACGATGCGCACTAAGCCTTTCCCGTATACTACCGTGAGACCTATGGGACCATTGAAATTGTCGATCCAACCTGGGATGGGTTCGATGTTTGTATTGATAACTGTTAACAAACAGTTAAAATAAATAATGCAGAGATTTATTTTTTCATCCCCTCTAGAAAATTGATAACACTGGTTTAGGAATCAACTTAGTGTGAAGTGTTAAAAGATATCTAGATTCTGCGTCAGAATGTTGTACATTTTTTAAGAAGCAGAAATGGCATAGGTGACAGCCATTTTGTTATCTATCGTGATGATTATTATATGTATAACTAATTTATACTCACTAATCGATATACGCAATGATACTAGATGAGAGGTTACGAAAGGAGATGGAAGCAAGGGGTATGTTGCCAGATGGTCAGGCAGGGTTTAGGAAAGGAAGAGGTACTATGGACAATGTGCACATCCTGCGACATTTAGTGGGAAGAAAAATAAGGAGAGAGGGTGGACGAATGTACGCATTGTTCATAGATCAAAGCAGCGTTTGATAGCGTGAATAGATAGAAAATGTCGAAGTATTTGAGGAGAAGGGGAGTAGATGCGTACCTGGTAACGAAAATGCAAGAAATACATATATGAAAAAACAGTAAGTGAGGTGAGAGTGAATATGGAATAGAAATCGAGAGTTTTTATACAACTAGAGGAGCGAGACAGGGATGCCCACTCAGTCCCGCATTGTTTGCAGCTTATTTAGGAGATATAGATGAAATGTTCAGAAATGCACAGACCGGAGGGGTGGTAGTGGGCCAAGGGAAAGTGTGGTCGTTGACGTACGCAGATGATTTGGTGATTGTGGCAAAAAAAAAAGAAGAAGAAAATGTGTGTAAAAAAAAAAATGGTGGTGTTTGGGAAGAAAGTACGAAAGGAGAGCGCATATTCAAGAAATGGTCGGAAAAGTGAACAAAGTGATAGGAATAGGAGTGAGAAAATTTGGACATGATTGTAAGAGAAGAATGATGATGTTTGATAGTTTGATCAAAGTGAATTTATGTACGGAGCTGAGATTTGGTGATGGAGGGAATATGAAGAAATAGAGAGAGTGCAAGAAAAATACGTAAAATGGACATTGGGATTGGAAAAGTATACACTGGGGTATATAGCGAGAGAAGAAACAAAGAGGGAGAAAATGAGAGTGGAAGCAGGTAAAAGGGCAGTTGGATTTGAAGAGAAGTTTAATGAGAGAGGTGATTGTAAAATATTGCAAGAATGTTGGAAAGTAATAAGAAAGGAAGGGGGAAAACATGTTTGGAGCGAAAGAGACAAGTCTTATGAAGGAAAAGGATATGCATGTGACGAAATAGAGAGAATGAGAGAAATGGGAAGGAGTGTAACTGAGTGTAAGAGATAAGGCTATAGACAAGCAAGAACGCAGATCGAGAATATCGGAGTCTAGATATAATGCAGAATATAGAAAAATAGTAAAGAATGAAGTACCAAAGTACACACAGAGAGAGAGAGTAAAAAGGAGAAAACATGATGGCGAGATTTAGGTGTTAAAATGAAGAGAAAGAGAATAATTTTTGGATGGATGAAACTGACAGAAGGTGTAGGATATGCTGGAGAGAGGGAGAAGCAATAGAGTATATGCTGGAAGGATGTGAAGAATTGAGAGAATCGGAGGAAAGTAGGGAAGAAGTGCTAAACTAGTATGCAAGAGGACTGGACTGGAAGGGAACTAAGGCAAGGGGTGAGCAAGCAGAAAGAGTAGAACAATTACAATTATATAAAACTGGGAATCTTATTAAGCCTATAAGGCAAAAAATAAATTAATAAACTGTCTTCATTTACTAATACAATAAATTCATATAATATAATTAAGAAGATAATAAATGATTAATGTGTACTTATGATATTTGTAGTTTATCCAATTTAAAAACGCTTTGCCAATTGCTTGAAATTAATGGAGTACAAGAAAAACAAGAAAGTTATTATACAATTATTATTCACTTAATACAAAATCGCGTCATTATACTTATCAAATACGCATGAAACAACCCCTATTTTAATAAATACAACCCAAAACAGCCCCAAATACCACAAGAAGTTAACAATTTTTGCCAACACCCACATCCTCCAAAAATGCTTTTTCGCCTTGTTGATATCATCACTTTCTTTGAGAAGGTACTTTTTAGTACCTACAGCACAGTCAAACATGTACATATAAATCACAGCGTTCTCGTATTTGTAGGAAAAACTGTCAACATCAGCAGGCAACAACTCTCCCTGTAAACTATAAAATTTGTAGTTAACAAACTTCCAGTTGTTGTGTGTGAAGTAAGCTAGAGATATATTCGCAGTGTGAATCTTCCTCTGAAGTTTAGTCAACCTGCGATTAAAAAAAATCCGTTTTGGAGTATTCCCATGTAAAATTTAATGTTGGTACAAGTAATTACTTACATCGGTCGTTCGCCCATTAATTTAAGCATGCCGTCGATGAGTAAAGCCGGTATAAGTTAATAAATAAATATTTGAAAAACATAATTGTAGTAGCACTTGGTGATTTTTGGGTTGGGGTACCATAAAACATTATCGTAGGGGCATTCTTTCCATATTTTGGTGCCTAAATCGACGACGGTTTTTATAGTTATGTTGTTCACATCGTTATTACTACCGTTGTAGAATGATGGGTTGAGTCTGTGGCTTGCGTCTCTGGAAACTGATTTATAACTTTTACGGAAGAAAAGAGAAAAAATATACTTGTATGTTGCTTGTTTCCACGATGATATGATGATAGCCTTCACTGTAACGTCAACTGCCATAAAGTCCGTAGTGTTGTTAGGGTCAGAGTAAATGATGCGCACTATGCCTTTTCCGCAACCTACCGTGAGACCTATGGGACCGTTGAAATTGTCGATCCAACCGGGGATGGGCTCGATGTTTGTACCGATAACTGTTAACAAACAGTTGAGATAATTTAGTCTGAGATTTCTAATTTTCGAGCAAAACCAGGAATAATTTCATAGCTTCTAGTTTTAACGGTGAATGAGTTTACATCGTTTGTATTCCAACGTTTTTCCACCTACTGTTTAAAAGGTTTATTCCAAAATGTAAGTCACGTTAGTACTACATACGATATA